CAAACAAACATACAAAAACTACCGATTAAGTTTAACCAATATTCGATATCCAATTATAATAACATGGATATTATAGAAATGCGCCCAGCATACTACCAAGAATACAGAATAGGGCAGGGCAGGGCAGGGCAGGGCAGGAGAGGAGAGGACAGGAGAGGACAGCCCAGCACAGTACCGCCGAAACGCAAATAAAACAGGGATGGGACTTGTATAATGAAATTGTAGCGCAAAATACTTACACAAAATTAATGACATAAACGTTGAATAAGTACTCCTTTCCTGATTGTTTGTACAAATCCATAATCTAGGGTTAAATTATGTTAAAAATGCTGAGTGAYATCAAAGAAATTTTATATAATTAGACTAAAAAGCATAGCAATTTGGTAATATGGGCTACCAAATCGTGTATTATTTTCTTTCAAACTTTGGACTAATGGAGAAGAGCTTTCTACTACTTTCATTTCATTATCTGAAAAAAAACTCGAGTCGCTAAAAGTTGATCCTTCCATATTTTCTTTTTCTTTTTTGATAAATCATGCTTTACTGAGCGCTAAATATTTTGAAGTTRCACAGCCATATTCGTTGTATCGCGACCCGCCGTTTCAAAACTCCGATTGGAATTTAGTCTTTTCCGAGCCCTCAATCATCTGGCGCTTATCTTTGCTTTACGAAAACAGACAGAGTTTATTTGCTGTCAAAAATAAAAAATAAAAAATAAATAAAAAATAATAAAATCGAAAAAAGAGGTCGAAATCTAAATACTATAATTGTAAACCATTCTCCATTCAGAACTCCTTGAAATATTCTCGAGCCTTTCAGATTTTCAAAAAAGCCAAAGCTGAGCGAAGCCGTGTTTAAAGGTTAATTTGCATAAACGCCATATGTTTGACGGGCCACAAAATACCAAATCAAAAGGAAGTTTTGTAAAATGTTAAACTTTGCAGAGCCTTGAATTTCAGTAGCCAACGAAAAACAGCATACGTAAAATTAATATATGACCATGCAGTTATGGGACTTTATTGTATGGTAACTTGATTAAATAACTTATATTTTACAACCAMCACTCCGCATACGGGGCTCTTCCGTGAGGTTCTCTCCGCACCCACTACCACTACATTCGATATTTACAACATACAACACTCAAATCACATGTTGCTTTTTACGGAGAGAAAAAAGGCGGAGAACCCGGAGAAAACCCTCGTAGCAAGGGAGAGAACAAAACATCAAACAAACTCAACTCACATATGATCCAGTCTGAGCCACGGCTCAAACAAGGACCAAAGTGGTGAGAGGCGAGCAGTAAGCCACTACGCCACAAATTGACTGTTGATTAACGCTTGCAACAGGGGAAAGTTATCGGGCTACATGGAAAGACTTCGATATATGACTGCAATAAACCATTTGTTGAGGGGGRAAAATAAAATAAAAAACTTATTTTTAGATTGGGATGAGGCATCCCAGTAACCAAGGTTATTTTTACTGGTCTATCACAGTTAAACCACTCAAATAGTTTAAATCATCTAGCTGTATAAAACCATACCATTTTCTTTATTGTGCTGCTCAAGTTGAGAAACGCAGAAGAGGTGTTATATTCAAGATCACTAGTGAAAATAATATTCACTATCTTCACTTYGAATTTCACCTTGAATGCTCCAGCTTTTAAATAAACGAGAAAAAAATATAATACATTAAATAACAATAACAACAACAACAATAATAATAATATTGATAATAATAATAATAATAATAATAATAATAATAATGACTTTCTCGCAGGACATCACGAACAACTAAGAAAAGACCTAAGAACAATTACAAATACAGACAGGGAAGTGAACTTTCTTATAGAACGATGCCAGAAATGGATTTTAAGCCAGAACGTTAATATAGTCAAGAAGTTCTATGAATATGCATAAACTGAAGAAAGGATTGAAAAAAATGATGAACTTAACCAGCCTAGACTTAGTCCGCTGGTCAATGTAAACATGATATATACAGCCAATAAAACTTGCCATAATAATAATGATAATAATAATGAAAAATCAAATTCAATGCAACTGAACCCTTTAAGTGATCTCTGATCATCCAAGGAATACATGAACATACAAAAGATATTTCACT